AGAAAAAAAAAAAGAAGAATAAATAATTTGCCTCCATTTATTAATTTGAGATTGTAAGGTCGAAGGTGCGGTTCTTTTTTTTTCTTTTACAGGCTGCAATAAAGAGAAATTTGAGCAAACTTTTGGTTTTTATCATCCTTTTGTAAAGGAAAATCACGATATAAATATACTTTCACCCTCACATCCCCTTAAAAATGCCAAAGAGGGATGCACCCCAGTCTGTTTTAGATTGCTGTTGCGTATTCCTTTTTTTTTTTTTTTAGTACTTCCTTTTCCCTCTCTCCACCCCTCTCGCACCACGTGTACAGACAAGAAATATCAGCAGAAAAAAAAAAAAAAAAAAACGAGGGCCCTTGAGAGCGTTGACGATTGCTGTGTCTATCTCCGCTTGGCTTTTGCTTTCTAAGGACAGAAACGGGGAGGCAAAAAAAAAAAAAAAAAAAAAAAAAAGAAAGAGAGAATTCAATAACTGAATCATTGCGTCTTGCTTCATAAGTAAAAATAGATACATATAGATATCAAGAAGAACAGAAAATTGTGCCAGACATGAAGGGGCTGTGTTGGGTCACCCGGGTTCTTCTGAAACGCAAAACACCGTCTACAGTGAGCAACGAGGTCAGTGTGCTCTCGTCCGTCACAAATGCTCCCTTTTCTTCATCGTGTCAGGCCATACTGCGAGCGGTAGCGAGGACAAGACACTATGTGAAGAGGTACTGGGTGACGCTGCCACAGTCACGCCGCACTTGCAATGCAGTGGTGCTCCCTGGCGAGTCCCCGACGGTGATACACCTGAATGTGGAAAAGGTTTTGCCCTTCACAACATTACCCCAGAAGATACAGAAGCGCATCATGGATGAGCACCCACCATTTTTTGGCTCTGGTGTTGGTATTCTTTCCCACGCATGAAATGGAAGGCCGTTACGGCGGAGCGCCTAATAAGGCTCCTGAATGAAGATGAAGAAGATCGTGCGTTGTACATTGATGTTGCCATTGCGGATCAGCTAGGCGTGAAAGTGAATGCAAAGGATGCCATTGATATCCGGAA